AGCCCAACCAATATCAAAGCCGAGCTGGATTCTACTCTGGAGGAGTCTGCTCCTTCGTTTACAACAGTAAAATATTGGATGGCAGAGTTTAAACGAGGCCGTACGAGCTGCGAAGACGAACATTGCAGTGGTCGACCAAGTGAGGTGGTCATTCCAGAAATGATGAAGAAAATCCACAAAATGGTATTGGGTGACCGTCGATTGAAAGTGCGCGAGCTAGCAGACATGGTAAACATTTCAAAAAATGCTGTACATCGCATATTGGCTGAAAATTTGGAAGCTGTGCGCAAGGTGAGTGCCGCGCTTGCTCACAATCGAACAAAAGCAGCGTCGGGAGGATGTTGAGTTAAAGTTCGAATTGCTTCCCCACGCACCCTATTCGCCAGGTTTAGCCCCCTCGAATTATTTTCTCTTTCCAAACTTGAAAAAATGGCTCGGTGGTAGAAGATTTACCAACAATGAAGAGGTGGAGTCTGCGGTCAATGGCTATTTTGAGGAGTTCAACGGTTCTTATTATAATATAAACAGGCCATCGAAGCTATTGAACATCACTGGGAAAAGTATCGAGCTAAAAGGAGACTACACATTGAGAAATAAAGATATTTTTTCCCAAATTTTTTGTTTTCTTTGTTAGGTCGGGTACTTCTAGGACCACCCTCGTATATCCAAAAAATAAGTTTAAAATACAATAAATAAAAAGAAATCTTTCTTGCTCAGTTTTCTATGTTACTTTTATTCACTTTTTTATTTTATCATTTTTTCACAAAAATTAGACCAATCTCTCGAGATTTCTCACACAGCTTTTCATCAAATGGACAATACATGTAATACTTGCCTCTACATTTCTACTCTGAATCATGTCTGCTTGAAAGACAAATGTTTAAGTGGAACATTAAAATAGAGAGAAAAAGAGAAAGAGCAATAAAAAAAAGAGGAAAAGAGACGAGGCAACTTTCTTATTTCACGCATGCGCACTCCATTTTGGCCAACATAAAACCAAGAGATACTGTGGTAGAGCATAGAGTCATGGTGAAAGCTTTAATTAATAAAGTAATAAAGTTATTTTATAGATATATCAAAATTATAAATAGGTAAGCCTATATATTATTATAAAAATTTTGATTTAAAAATATATATAAGATACAGATATTATGTGGTAGGAAGCATCGAAAGTGACATTCTAACTTTGTTATCAATATATTATATAATTATTATTATGTAGTTTTAACGTCTTTTTTGCAGAAAACATGACTAAAATATATTAAAACATGACTAAAACATGATTAAAACATATTGTTAAAAAGTTGTTAAAATATTGTTTAAAATTACCAGTATATAGCATTTTGACGACTGCAAAACATTTTATTAGAAAATAAAAGTATTGTTAAATGAAAGTGTTATTTCATTATTGTTTCGTATCATCACTATTTTAGTTTTAAAAGTGTAAAACTAGGGTAACTGTCCCAATTACTGTACCTCTATTAGTGTGCTTTTGTATTTCGATAAGTTATAAAAGAAAACTAGCATGAATAAATACGAGGGCAAGTCAATAAATTTTTAGAAAAACATAGTAAAACATTTTTTTTATCGATTCATTTTTATTTCTCAACATAGTCTCCTTTCAACACAATACATTTGATCCAACGATTCTCCAACTTTTTCAAGCCATCCGAATAATATGATTTGACCAACCCTTCAAAATAAGCCTCTGTTTCAGCGATGAGCTGCTCTCTGGTGATGAAACTCTTTTCTCCAAACCATTTCTTCAGGTTTGGAAACAGGAAATAATCGCAGGGGGCTAAATCTGGCGAGTATGCTGGATGGGGAAGCAATTTGTAGCAGAATTCGTTGAATTTGACCATCGGTGTCAGGCACGTGTAAATCCGTGCATTGTCTTGACGGAAGAACACTTTCTTCTTCGCCAAATGGGGACGTTTTTTCTTTGTTAAAAAAATGTTATTGAAACGGTCCAATAAGGCTGCGTAGTAATCGCCATTAATCGTTTGCTTCGACGGAAGGTAATCGATATGAATTATACCGCGTGCATCCCAAAAAACTGTGGCTATCACCTTTTTGGCTGACTTCACGGTCTTTGCCTTCTTCGGAGCTGATTCACCCGATGAAGTCCATTGTTTTGACTGTTCCTTCGTCTCGGGTGTGAAGTAATGGATCCATGTTTCGTTCACAGTAATGAATCGACGCAGAAATTCATCTGGATTACATTGAAACATCTCCAAACATTATTTTGAAATTGTCACACGGTCGCGCTTATGGTCCACAGTGAGCAAATACGGCACCCATCTTGCCGATAGCTTTTTCATACCCAATTGTTCACAAAATTGAAATCACTGTGCCATGTGATATGCCTGTGGCCTCAACAAGCTCGCGCATTTTCACTCGTCGATCAGTCAAAACAACATCGTGGACTTTATCGATGATTTCTGGCGTAGCAGCCTCAATTGGGCGTCTCGAACGTGCATCACATGTGGATATATCACGTTTAAATTCATTTACCCAATTGTATTGGGAGTACAAATTAGTTCGGTCCGTTTTTTGTGTTCAAAAATGCATTTATTTAAAAAAAAAATGAATGAACAGGTTAATTAAAATATTGTCCATCGCTGGCTATTACTTTTTCCCATCTCTGAGGCAATTTTCGAATTCCATTTCGAAAAAATGACTCGTCTTTGGAGGCGATCCAAGTTTGGAGCCAATTTTCGATTTCTGCAAAAGAAGTGAACCGGTGACTTGCCAAATGGTGCTGCATACTTCGGAACAACCAGTAATCAGAAGGAGCAATGTCCGGAGAATACGGCGGATGCGGTAAAACATCCCATTTGAGCGTTTCCAAATATTTTTTTACCACTTTTGCGACATGAGGCCGAGCGTTGTCATGTAGAAGAATAACTTCCTTGTTTTTGAATTATTCCCATGGCTCCCAATCGTACAGAAACGGCTTGTTGAGTTACTCCCAATGATTCTGCAAGCTCCTCTTGCGTTTGACTCTGATCTTCTTCGAGTAATGCCTCTAATTCTTGGTCTTCGAATTTTTTTGGCTGTCCATAGCGAGGCTTGTCTTCAACGCTGAAATTTCTATCCTTGAAACGCCAAAACCATTCCCTACATGATTTATCAGTTGGAGCAGTGTCACCATAAACTTCGACAAGCATTCGATGGGCTTCAGCTGCACTTTTCTTCCAATTAAAGCAGAAAATTAAAACCTCCCGCAAATGCTGCTTGATTAACACAAAATTCGACATTTCAAACACAGCAAAAATCAAGATTTTTATATGAAACTCAAAGCGATATGAACTGAATATTATTAGCAGATGTCTAAGGTTTCTGAAACCACCAAAATCAGCTGTCACTATGAACCAGCTGGAACAGCTAGAACCATCTTTTAGAAACGAACCGAACTAATTTGTACTCTTAATATATCCAATTGTTATAAAAAAAACAGATCTACTTCTGTCAATATTTTGTAATTTAACATAAATTCTTGTCAATATTATATAATTTAACGTAAATTTTACTCTTACAATTTTTAAAATCTAAATTACCGCGTTTACGATACTCAAAGTGGGGATATAATAGCATCGATGATTGGTTCTGCCATTTTATTGTACTTCAAAACCAATGAAAATTTTGATAAGATTGACGCGATTCTCTTATAGGAACTCTAGCTTCGAAGTATTTGTAGCGCCAAATGAACCGTATCCCTTAGGAAGTAACAAACTCACGTTACTATACACTGTTATGCACTTTTTAATGGAATTAATTGCATGGATTTAAACGCAATTATTAAGTAAATCTGTTAAAAAAATAAGAGTATCAATAGAGTGTGCATAAAAATAAGTTAATATGTTTAAAAAAATTTATACTAAAATGTGAATTTATCACTAGCCCGTACCGCAAACCACGTGCAAACCGCGCTCCATGTAATATCAGCGAAAAAAATAGGCGCTACGTGGTATGCGGTTCTTTAGTTGTCGAGTTAGTTACTATTAGTTACTGTACTGCGTACCGCGTGCCGCGCTCCATGTAATCGCACCCTTAGCGTATATCCACAAACTTACATAGTTGCATAAATTATCCAGTCACATTTTACGTGCGTCTATATAGGAGAAATGCGATTGGATAATTTTCTTTATGCATACGTTTATAATATCGGTCGATTAAGATTGCATTTCACTTAACGCTCGCAATGCTTGCAAGCATCGTTTGTCCTTGTTTAACATTTGACAAAGATGAAATGATTCCACGAGCGTTGTAAATGTTAAGTGGAACGCAGCCTAAGTGTCAACCGTGATTAGTCAATTCTGCTGAACAGCAAATGCAATTGGTTAGTTCCAGTGTAACAATCGACCGATTAGATTAATCGGAATTGGTGACTGGTCTTAATTCTACAATAAAGTCGCAAGTCGTAAGCCGTAAGAAATTGGCCAATCACAGGTATGTGTGAGAAGTATAATCGACTATGATTGGCTACTTTCTTACGACTTTATTGTAGAACACACTACATTTCAAGGCTGTGTTCCAAATTTACAGCCAGCACTGAAAATGCTACAGTTTACGTTACGTGCCCTATACAGGAAAATTTTATTCAAGATGCTGTAGTATGTATATATAGGATATGTAAACGTTACATATCCTATATATTTCGAGTAAAATTTTCCTCGAAAAAGATGTTTTGGAATATAGTTTAAGATTATTTAATAGGAAGTTACTAGTTAGTATCCGTATCAAGTGCACGAAGGATGCTTTCCATTTAATGACACAAGTTGACACAAGTCAATATAAGTATCGTTTTATTTTTGTCACTCTCTGAATGTCAAGAAGGATAGAAAAAAACGATACTTGTGCCGACTTGTGTCATCAAATGAAAAGCACCCGATGTAAACTAGGCCGTTGGGTGTTGAGTGAGAAATCTGAACGCACCCCTGGATATCGCATTGAAAAAGTTCGCACTCAGTGCGTACTAGTGCAGTCTGTCGAATGCGCTATAAGTATCATTCAATACATTTATGACATCACTCGTATGCGTATGCATTGATTATCATTGATATGAATCACTGTAGACAAAATGTACTAAATGGCGATGTCTCACACACACAGTGAATACAAGTGAAGATCAGTGAGGAATTTTCGGAAAATTATAGTTTTCCGAGAAATGTCGAAGTAATCTAAAAGCGCTCGCGAATGTATGATGCGCTCCGAATAATAATAATAATAATAATAATAATAATAATAATAATAATAATAATAATAATATACAGAATGCAAACGGCTCATTTTTATTGCCATCTCATTTGGGGTGTTTGGTGTTTCCTACAAGGTAATAACGCATTCTTGATTACGCCTAATTACGCACATTTCCCATGTCATTTCATTGAGTTATTATTACATCAATATTTCTTGTGTTCTCTGTATGTCACAACACTCCGTTTTTTTTATTTGTACATGTTAATTGTAATAAGCTGTGTCACCATTTTTAATTAAGAGTGTTTTATTTTATTTTCAGTTATTGCCAACGACTATGTTCAACTGTCACATGATGGACCAGTTGTACTGGGTGGGACAATCACTTTTAGAGCAGATGTATACAGAGATGGCAAACGACCAAAAGAAACTTTCATATACATATGGAATGATAATTCATTAATGAAATATAAATATGAGGTTACAATGTTTTTCATATTAGTTATATATATAATACAATATAAACTGTTTAAAATTAACTGTATTCTCAGCAGAAAAAGCAACTGTACTTTCAAACTGTTTTTCTTTAATATGATTATATATTTTGATTTAATAAGCAACTAAGAGTAAGACAATCATAAAGAATTTTACAATCATTAAAGAATTTTACAATAGTTGCAAAGCTGCTTTTCCTGCTAAACATAACCATTATTACTTTTAGCCACATTCAGTTATTTTATTTATTTTTTGAATGTATTCTTGAATTTTTTGAAGAAATTCTTTTAATTTAGAAAATATTTAATATTATTTAATTTTATAATTTTTTTCATAGATCATTTATTTTTTATGTCAATATTATAATGGGTTGTCATTTTTATCGTACTCTGTAACATTTTAGAGCAAACAAACGTCAAATACAACAACATTTTGGAGCATAAATTATCCACGTGAAAGCAACATTACTGGAAACTATACAGTGGAATTAGAAGTCAAATATCTTCTCTATTCAATTTTTTGGGTATTTTATACAAGTGCTCGTATCGAGTTTGAAATTTCTGGTAAACTTTGTTGATGTTGACAAAATTTTTCTAACTGTTTCTCTCTGTCAAATATCATATTTTATTATCTGTTTTAATTTCAGAATCTCTTAATGGTAATATAATCATAAGACAAGCTAATAAAACCATAGTGGGAGAATATATCTCCTCTACAAATGAAACCAAATTAACGATAGATTTGCGAAAAGGAGATTATGACTTTATAATACAGAAAGCAACAGCGATATTGACATATTGGTTTATTGACTGCAAGTATTACGGTCAAACAAATGATTTTGCTTTTGTTTATAACTTTACAAGTCCTGATATAACATACGAAGTAGGAGCTTTAATGATCGTTTCATACGACCCGCCAACAACCACAACCATGGCACCTACAACTACAATCGCACCTGTTAATGTGACAACAGTTGCATCCAATATTACTACTGCAAATTTGAATGGGCCTCTTGTCACAGTAATAACATTACCGATAACTGTTACGAGTGTAAAACCTCCGATGAAGTCTACAATTGCACTTCCAATTAATACAAGCACAATAGAACCTGCCAACATATCGTTGCCATACATTTGCTCAAATACATCTTTCATTCCACCGGATCCTAAGAAAACATATGGATACTTTTACAAGAAAATCCATGTTCGTGGTTAGTAAAATGTGCAATTGACATTTTATTGATAATTATAATTTTTTATTTTCTAATAAATATCTTCAGCTCCCGTGTCAAATATCTCGGTGGAAGGTACGAATTGGATCCAACCATGGGACATGTTATCTTTGAATGTAACTTGCAAGGGATCAGGTCCGTTTTCTAAGTGTCTTGAATTTCACCGTGGAAAGTACAATGCAACGGGAAATGAAACGTGTAATGACGTAGTTGACTTGCTCTCATGCAATTTTTCCATTATTCATTATTTTCTTGAGCCCGGTGTTTACACAATATTAATCATATTAAACAACGAAGTTAGTACACAGATTTATCCACTAACGATAAACATTTATAAAGGTAAATTCCTTTACTGTGATATTTCTAACTAATACCGTTTTCTTTTGGTTGCACTAATGTACTGAATGCATATTAAAACTGTTGTACACTGATTTAAATTGTGTAGAAGTAAAATTCAAATATTTCGAATTATAAAATACAGCTTTTACTTAATGGCACAATAAAATGTATTAAAGATTAAAGTATTGTTTAATCTGTTTTTATATACTTATATTAAACATACATCTTTATGTCAATTTATGACGGTTTTAACATGCACTCAGTGTGCACTAGTGCAGCTAAGAGAAAACGCTGTAAGTATTGTAATTTATGAATATACACAATGATAATATTCACTTTAACTTTCTTACAGTAACAACAAAACCGCAGTTATCAGTTATCATAGTGCCAGTTTCTTGCTCAGTTGTTGCTGTGGTGCTGATAGTATTCGGCGTGGCGTATTACATCCAAAGTAGAGCGAGATTCACGATAGAAGTCGCGGACTTTGATTTTGGACAAAGTAATCCAGAGATGGAGTACAAAACGTTTACGGAACGTTTACGAGATTCATTTAATAACACTGTAAGACCTGGCAGCAAGCAGCTAAGCGTACGTTATTACGGCAGCATGAATCATTAAAATATACGGGCTGTGCAAAGCTATGTGATCTCTATTGCCATCTCTTTCTGTTGCTTTTTAAATGTAGTATGATTTATTTCTTTTTCATTTTTTTGTTGATTTCTTGTGCTTAACTTTGGTTTGCCTATCGCAGATTTGATCTGATAAAAAAAAGACATCAACATGAAATTTTTTTTAATAACAGACAACTTTATTTTTTTCTACTTATTATTAAAAAAATTTATACCGATTTATTACTAATATACGAACTGTTTATTATGTATAGGGATATAAACCACTCAGCAATCCACAAACACTTCAGTGATGCATAAAAATGAGAAATAATAGTTTTAAAAACGACACTGGAACAAAAGTTTCTGCAAGGAGTGAAAGAAAATGAGTAATGCGTTATGCAAAAATATCCGTCGGCAAAAATTTAACGACATTACTAGTGAAGAGGTCTGTCGAATGCTATTGTGCGCTAATAGATACTGGAAAATTTGATTTAAAGATAAATTATAAAAAGAATGAGAAAGACAATGTTGTATGACAATTTTTAACATTATCGAATGAAATCGAGATTGTACATAGATGAAGAAATTACAATGTATATATAGGCTGTGAATATAATATGTAATGGTGTATTTTTTTTAGAGTTGCTCTTAACATGAAACACACAAGAGAATTTGATATTTTTTTAAGGTTGCAATGAGAATTATCTCAACTTACATCTCTTTTATAATTTTTCATGCATTATTGTTTTGATTTGTTGTTTATTAGCGATTATAAATGTTTTGCACGTATGCGACACAATAGTGAGTTTTAAAGAAAAGAAAACAATAGCATAATTTATTAACTTGTAATGAAATTTGCATACACATACATATACACGCATGCATATGTACACATGTGTATAGAAATCCATGAAGAGGCTTTATTGAAAGTAAAATCAAGCGTGTTCGTAAATTTTTAGATAATACATTGTATTTATAGCTGATTAATAAGTACATTTTTCAGAAAATTTTGATTCAAATAGAATCATTTTAGATGAAATTTATTTATCACTGAGCTCCAAGAATTAACTTCGGAAATGTAATAATCGCAATATTATGGCATAAGAATAAATATTTATCTGCTTATCTTTAATAAAGAAAAAGAAATGTTAATAAATGTTATACTATTTCCGTTTCTGCATGGTGTCATCATTTGACGATTGTCGAAATATTATCGATGCATTACATCAGGCGTTGCAGTTGTGTAATACTTATTATTGTAATAATATTGTAATATATATTTTCACATTGAGAACTAGTTTTGATTTTGACATAAAACAAAATGTAAATATTTTAATCGGCATTGTGTGTGAACTATTGACCGAATATCCACTGATGAAACATCAGTTAATGAATACAGCAAAAGTGAAGAAATTTTGTAGAAAATTTTACGCGGGGTCTACAATAGAAATATTAATGCTAATAGTAGCTAGTAGCTAATGTAGCGGTCGTAGTCTTAAGTCGTAAAAAATCAACCACTCATAGTCGAATATAAGAAGAATAATCGATTATGATTGGTCAATTTTCTACGACTCAAGACCTTACAATCGTTAAGACTTCTGTTGTAGACCTCGCATTAATGCCTGTTCTACAATTGGTGGCAAGCCATTTTAGCTGTAGAAAATTGGCTAATCAGTTAAGTGCAAGAAGAATAATCGACTATGACTGATTAATTTCTTACGGCTTACTGCTTATAACTATTGTATAACAGGCCTATAGCCTGCTGCATACGATGCATGTTTTTTTGCTGGATTGCTAGCTGGATTAGAATCTTGCCATCATATGGCTGCAATACTGATAATGTCCCATGTACATACATACACGGAATCGGACCGACGGATTTCTTACTAGAAATGAGTTCACTAGCATTCCGTTCCGTTCCATACAAAAACGTAAGGCCGTAAGACGTAATCAGTAAGCGAATTGCCCAATCACGGTAGAGACCGTAATGCCAATAGCCAATCTTCCGATTTCCTTACTGATTAAGTTTTACGTTTTACCTTATGTTTTTCTATGTGCTCCCGGCTTTTACGATTTCTTTGCTTACGTGTTACCACTTTACGTTTTTGTATGTACCATGGGCTTTACTAGCATTCCGTTCCGTAAGAAGTTTCTCTACTGTATCGGAACCACCGGATTCATAGCTGGACGAGAAGCTGGTATAGAGAAGATACGGAATCAACGGATCATGTCGATTGCAGACTATGTTAACCCAGCTATTGTTGATGGTTGAGAATTTGACAACTTCAAAGAAGAAAATTAATAATAATTCTTATTTTTCAATATGATATACTTTTGTTTTATATATATGTAATGCCAGCAGTTCTTTAAATAATTCCGATGTCATTCTGAAGTAATTGAAAAAATTTCACGATCGGTCGTTTGCATTCCAATGACTAAATTATTACTTGCGCCTTGGAGGCGCCTCATTCTTTGTATAAACATTGACTGTATCTAGAATTTTCGTTTTTTTTGTATATTTCTGCTGTTGCAATAGAACGTTATAAGCAAAATAAAATTTTCGCACACTCTTAAATACCGAAATAGCACACCAACTTGGCATATTTCTTGCTTTTCGCAATAATTTTAACCTACTTCTTTATCCATCGTTATAGATTACGAAAAAAGTTTCTGAATATTCATTTCAATTTTTAGATTCAGATTTTTAGATCACATTTAACCAACTGAGCTGAATTGCCATTCCATTCCGTAAAAATTTTTTCTACCGGTCCCATGTAGTCGGAACACAATGGAATTTTGGTGACAAAATATATCTCACTCTTATAATTCAGTATTTTTGATTATTTAAAGTAATGTTATATAGATAAGATAATTGCATAAGTTATTAATATTGCTGCTTTGATCGCATTAAAATTATGAAATATCGATTAAATCAAACAAATTAATTTGCAATCGAGGTAACATTCTGTTCCGACTACATGAGAGTGCCATCCCATGTACACGGAATCGGAACGGCGGAACGGATTTTTTACTAGAAAATTGAGTTCACTATAATTTCGTTTCGTAAGAAATTTCTCTAACCGTCTCATATAGCCGGAACGGAATGGAAACAGACGGAATGTCGCCTCGGTCGCAAGCTAATTTGCTTAATTTAATCGATATTTCGTTATTTTAATGCGACCAAAGCAGTGATATGCATAATTTGTGATATATATAATTATTTTACCTATAACATTACTTTAAATACTCAAAAATACTGTATTATAAGAGTGAGATATATTTTACCAAAATTTCATTGCGTTCCGGCTACATAGGAACGAGTAGAGAAAATTTTTACGGAACGGAATGGCATATTCAGCTGAGTTGATTGAACCTAAAAATTGAAACGAATATTCAGAAACTTTTTTTAAATAACGATGGATAAAGAAGTGTTATTACTAATGTTAAAATTATTGTAAAAAGAAATGTGCCAAGTTAGCGTGCTATTTCGATATTTAAGAGTGTGCGAAAATTTTATTTCGCTTATAACGTTCTATTGTAACAACAGAAATATACAAGAAAATGAAAATTCTGGATACAGTCAATGTTTACACAAAGAATGAAGCATCTCCAAGGCGCAAGTGATAATTTAGTCATTGGAATGCAAACGACCGATCGTGAGTTCTTCAATTACTTCAGAATGACATTGGAATTATTTAAAGAATTGCTAGCATTATAGTTGGACTATGTATACGAGGTCTGTTCAAAAAGTATCGCGAATTTTGAATTTCCGCGGGTTACGTATATTCGATTTTCGATTTTTTGTGGCGTTATGTTGGTACTCATGTCTGTCACTTATGCCGACAAGTTCGGCCATTTTGAATGTTCAGTTAATTTTTGACAGCTGCTTTGCTTGCACGTGTTTTGGCTCGTCTTCGATTTTTGCCTATTCCAAAAAATGGATCAAAGAATCTGTATCAAATTTTGTGTGAAAAACAAAATTAAGTGCGCGGACGCATTCCGAATGTTGACTGTGG